ACTGTTTACAATGATTTATAAAGCTGCCTACATTTTGTCACTTGTTTAAGATTTCCCAAAGATGGAGAAAGAAGGAGGCAGTGGGAAGTTGCCCTAAGAAGTTTCTGCAATCTTCCTCAGAGCTGACGCTCAGTGGCGTCACGATCAAAACTGTCAGCAAGGTAAAAAAAAAACCTTCCCTGTGTTTCACAAAGAGCCTAAAAATGCGGTCAGAAGAAAAACAAAAAAGATGTTTGTAGTCTTTTGAAAAACTGCTGGCTCATCAAATCCCCCTGATAAATAAATACAATGAATAAATGCCACACTTACTAATCATGATTACTTGTTTGCCTTTAGGTAGTCAAACTATAGTTCTTGTGTGATTTCTCACCGGACATCATGTTGTTCTATAGGCCTATGTAAAGTATAAAGGCAACCACACTGTCCAGTTACATTGGTAATTGTAATTTCAGGATTTGATGTGCGGCGAGCCATGATCAAGCTGTCCTGTGATGTCTGCCGTGCCAGCCTGGTGATGGATGCTGCATCTGCCTGTGATGACCAGAGCTACCATTTGCTGACTCTGAAGAACAACGGGGGTCTTGTAGTCCCATCTGAAGGTACTGTGAGGGTCATCAGAGCAGCAGAGTGGGCAATTCGCCAGGCATCAGTGGGCAGACGATCACAGCCCATCAAACCGCTGGAGGTCATCTACACTGTGCACAAGAGGATCGGGTCAGAGGATGTGTTTTTGCTCAGGGAGCAAATCAGTGAGACACAGTACGGAATTGAGTCTCACTCCCATACACTGTTGACATCTATTGTCTCCCTGTTCTTTAAGCTGAGGATGCACCACATTGCAAGATTTGCAACTCTTAAGCCCCCTTCAGACAGGCCATGAAAAACGGAAATGTTCCGGACTCTGTCCGTAAGACCTTTGTGTCTGAATACAAACATCCGGATAACCTTTTTCGTAATTAAACCGGACGACGCCCCTAGTAACAGGTCCGGACTTGTTACGGACAAGGTGGCTGCTTCAGACTGGTGAGGTCGAGTTCTGGACAGGGAGGAGAGGAGGAGGAGGGGACCGGGGGACGCTGTGTGCACCTAGACAGCTCGCTCCTGTAGCATGCGGCGAACCACGGCAGCTCGCCTCCTACGGTACAGTCTAGACGCGCGACGGAGCGCTTCACACTGCTTCCGTGATTCCTTCAACCATTGAGCTTCATCATCCAGGTCTCTTATGAGTCTTCGTGTGCGCAGAAATATGCTTAACATAACTCACAATTATCCCAGTTTTCTCTTCTCAAACATTCATTTTAAATGGGTTGCAGGCTGAAAGTGGAAATAAATATAAATATTATAATAACTTGCCAAAGCAAGTATATATTAGGTGCATATTACTTCCAAATATTAAAGTCAAAGTAAATAAAATATATTCTGTATATCTGCATTTGTCTTTTTATAAAATATTTTCTCAGTCATTGAGGTTCTACAAGTAGAGTTGTTAAATTTTTTGGACTGGGTGTTTTTACTTTAAATTTTGTTTGCTGCTTCTGTGTTTTTTTTTTATTTATTTATTTGTTTTACAATTTTCTGTAAATTAAATCAGGTATTTAAGTTTTTATTTATAAGTTGATATGGTAAGTTATTAAGGTGTCTTAAAACATATTTATAAGTTGACCTCAGTTTACAAACTACAGCTAGTTCATCAGAAGCAGATCTTGTTGACATCGACCCATGGTAGCAGGACACCACAGAACAGCTGGCGATATGCATGGAGAATAAAGAACACAGCATTAAAAAAACACCTGTTACGTACAGTAAAATATGATGGTTGTTCCATCATGCTGTGGGCTGTGTGGCCAGTGCAGGGACTGGGATTCTCGTTAAAGTTGAGAGACGCATGGATTCCGCTCAATATCAGCAGATTCTGGAGGCCGATGTCCAGAAATCAGCAAAACAACTGAAACTGTGCCTGGGCTGGATCTTTCAACAAGACAATGACTCTAAACACTGCTAAAAATCTACTACCACATTTATGCAGAGGAACAAGTAGAATGTTTTGAATGGCCATCTCAGTCCCCGGGCCTGCATATTATTGAAAATATGTGGTGCGAGTTACAAAGACCTTGGAAGCCATCAAACCTGAATGATCTAGAGATGCTTTACAGAAGTAAAGAATGGTCAACCATACCTTCAGCTAAAATCCACATTCTCATTGGAAGCTATAAGGAAGCTTTTAAAGGCTGTTATTTTTGCAAAAGGAGGATCTACTAAATATTGAGTTAATTTCTTTTTGGCTGTGTCCAAATTTATACATCTGCCTAATTTTGTTGAAACAAATATTGCACATTCTGTAAATCCTATAAACTTTGTGTAACTTCTCTAATATCACTGTGTGTGTCTCCTATGTTATATATACAACTTACTTTTTTATCATAACAACCAATGATTTATAAAGGAAAAACATGGAAGATAAACAAAACTGCGCAAACATTCAAATCCCACTGTATAAACAAAAAATATATATATTGGTGTTATAGATTTTAGGCCATGTGGCCCATTCCTACCCATTAAACCCAGCTTTAACCATGCACACCCTTGTCCCGATTTATATAATGTATTGTCTTCTCAGTTTTATCATTAGAGTCAAATACGATGTCCTGCCCACCCCAACCAACCTACACCTGTGGTATGGAGATGATCCAGCCTGTCCCCTGTGTGCCGGCCCAGCAACCCTCAAACACATCTTGGTGGGTTGCAAGATCAGCCTAACTCAAGGGAGATATACCTGGCGCCACAACCAAGTACTGAAGTGCTTGGCTGCCGAACTTGAGGAAAAGAGGGTAACCATCAACGCTATGCCTCCAAATGGCCAGATTGCCATCCCACGGAAAATCTTCATGCGGTAAGGGGAGAAGCAGCGGACAAAGCCATCTATCACCGACCCTGGTCCATTGGATGGGGCCCGAGACTGGAATTTGCGTGTAGATCTCTAACAGAGGCTCACCTTCCCACCCGAAATTGCTGCAACCAACCTGCGCCCAGACCTTGTCCTTGCGTCAAGGTCCTGCCGGCGTTACTTCATTGTCGAGCTGAGTCCCTTGGGAGGATGCCGTTGATGAAGCATTGGAACGGAAGCGGCTGTGGTATGCAAGCCTAGTGGCTGAAGCAGGGGGGGTTTGGAACTAGAAGATGTGGCCAGTGGAAGTGGGATGCAGAGGTTTTGTAGCCAGTTCCATAATAAGGCTTTTGAAGGAAGTAGGGATCAGAGGCAAGGCCCAACGGAGGGCAATCAAAGAGTTCGCCACTGCAGCGGAACAGAGCAGTCACTAGCTGTGGCTTCAATGAAGGGATGCTATTTGGGCTGCCAAATTATGACGTGGTGCTTCAGAGTGACACACACCTGGGTCTGATCAACCAGGGGTGGGCCAACCCCGGCAGAGGGTGTATTGTGATAAGTGGCCGAAACACCCAATGAGGTCGGGGCACACAACTGAAGATGTGTCACGCCAGTTTCACCACGAAATCTATGGCAAAGCGCACTCCACCAAGTTCTCAACTATTGTGCTGAAAGGGATCTGTAACAACTAGTCCAAGGAAAATTCTCAATTCAGGATGACATCAGGTGCTGCAGAAACATGTTAATCACTCATTCATTGAGATCAGATGTGTGACAGCAGGGAAACACCTGGACAGGGGCACTGAGAACCAGGGTTAAGAAACAGTACATGAAGGAAAACCAGAGCTGGGCTGTGTAGCTGCACGATGCTCTGCTACTGAGAAAGGGCGTGAAGCGTTGATCACACCAAATGCAGACTGAATGCAGTTCAGTTTCACATAGATCAGAAATCATTGAGTCCAATCAGAGGATATACACCAGCTGTGAAGCCGATCTGGAGCTCCAGAATGTCTTGGCATGGATTTTATTTTCTGGATGCCACGAGATTTGTTCTACTTTTGGAGAATCAACACAGTTGACTAAGGGGGTACCTGTGGTATGAAAATGGCTTGGGGGTACACATGTCAAAAAGGTTGGGAAACACTGGTTCAACAAACGGTTGGTAGAGCAGGTGATAGGTAGGGTTGCATCGAATCGTTCAAAGTTTTTCATTTTGATTCCTAGAATGCCGACCGGAAGAGGAATCCGCGCCTGATCTCCGTGAAAAATAAACGTGATCTGCAAATTGTGATCAACGTTTTTCAGAGCTTATCACACCAGCTGTCTGTGTGCAGCACCGTCCCCCCTCCCTCCAACCAGATATAAACAAACGCATCTGCCGAACTTTTACTGCTTAATGTAAACTTTAACTCCTGCAGCGTAGAGGAAACGTGTTAAATACATCAACACAGTGGATTTAATAGAAGCTTTAAAGAACAAACGATGGTGTGAGGTGAGTTTGTCTCATGAAGAAATAAAAACACACACAGAGTGTCAGCAGTCAGACGCAGCCGCCACATTTAAGTTTCACTTCCTGTTGTGACTGAATGCTGCTGCAGCATGGAGGTGCAGTTCTCAGTCATCCTGGACATGATCATCCTGAGAGTTTTAGCTGAAAACAGCTGGACGTGTCTGGATATGTTGGAGACATTTAGCCTCTCATCCCAGAGGCTTCTTCCACACGTTGGTTGTGGTCAGAAACAAACACACTGGTTGCGCTGCAAGTATTTTTCTTTTTTCTTCAGAACATGTTTTTGTCTAAATGAAGGTGATGTTGTTGTTCATAGAGTTAAAATTCATGTTGATGTTAAGATTATTTCATCAAGTAGGACCTGTGGTTAGCTGGCTAGTGTAAAGCATGTCATGTCTTCAAAGAATCTGAATCGGGGATCTATGGGAACCGGAATCGAAATGAGGAATTGGAATCAGAATGAGAATCGTTCAAAATCAAACGATGCCCAACCCTGGTGATAGGTAAACTTTAAGTACAATTAGCAGCTTGCATACCTCTTATCAAAATGACAAACATATTCTTATAATAACCTGCTATTCTTGTAGGTGTTTGAAACAAACTCACCTTTGAACCAGACAACATTGTGCTGAGCATTTTTGTGCCATTTCCAACGCCAACAACTGAAAGAAACCAAGCCAGAGTTACATTTATGGTCCTGATTGCCTCAAACACAAGTTTAGTTTACATTATAAAAACATAAACACTCTATACAATCTATGTAAGCAGAACAAAGTTTGACAAAATAAATGTTCTTGTTTATATGTTTGCTGTTTGATGAAATTACACATATACAAACAGAGCAATTAGGAGCAGTTTAAACATGCATTTTATTAAATAAATATATCCAAATGGTCACTAATAATATTTAGTAATTATTAGTAAATTTTCTCCAACTGCTGCACCTTCCTGTCTGTTGTGATGCAGCTGCTGTGCCATACAGTGATACAGCTTATTAAAAAAATGTTCACCAAATGGGATGATTTTTAAACCAGGTGGGGTCATCTGGTAAACTTGACTGACTGACTGATTGATTGATTGATCTGTCACAGGCGCTCCAAGGAGCTTGAGGTTGGAGACACACTCCACAGATATTCAGGCATCTGTGGGGGTGTCTCCATGTCATCTCCACTCATTGTGCTCAGGGTGGAGGAGGTGTTGCAGTCTAACCTGACTGAGGATTGTTGGTCAGAAAAGTCTACAGTCAAGTTTACGGAAATCCTAATTTATATTTCTCCGCCAGCACATTTGCAGAAACACGTGTTGACGAAGACGTTTTTCATTTCGTTTAAACTTCTCTGTTAGTGTGTCAGTGCAGCAAAGCAATTCTCCACCCTGGACAGCAGATTAATTTCACAATCCCCCGGTACGCTAGGGATTGCTTGACTTAATTTTTTTTAAAGTCGACAGTCAAGTAATGAAAATCGAGTCGACTTCGACTAGTCGTTGATGACATCATACACCTGAAGCGGGGGGGGGGGGGGTGCTGGAGTTTTTGACAGTTAAAATTGCGCCCACATTTTCTAAGTTAACATATCTCTTTTAACAACGGTAGTTTCTGCATCCTACTTCAGTTCTCTCCCCCCTCCCCCTGCGCAGCAGCCGCAAACTGATGCGCCTGCAGCCTCTCGGAGTTCCTGCTGCTCTAAACATTAAAATAATTATTTCATTTTCTGTTTCTCACTTCTGATTACCTTCAGTGGTGTCTGTTGCAACCACCAGGTACAAAAACTAACTTGTTTTTATTTGACTATTTTTCTGTCCTGCCTGTTTATTATCTTCCTGCATCTCCACTCAATCCTAAAGAAAAACTGCTACCTGGGTTCATACATATTCACCTCATGAGTTACCTTTGAACTGCAGTTCTAAAAGATCTACCGACCGCAAAAACAGCGGAGTGCACGTTGCACGCCGGCCGCACTAATAAAGATTTTCCGGGGGCTTGTTCCGATGCCCACTAGGGTTGTCACGGTGTGAAAATTTAACCTCACGATTACTGTGACCAAAATTATCACGGTTTTCAGTATTATCGCGGTATTTTTTTAAACGTGTTACATTTTCAAAACAAACCCTGTATATCAGGAAAATATTGTCCTCAGTTTGTCTAAATTTTGCCTAAAATGTGTTATTTTGTAATTATGTTGTTTATTTGTTTACATATTTCCCCTTTAGTCTTTAAAATACCAATATTTGCCCATAACTTCTTATTTTTTGTCTGTTTGATGTCATCATTTAAAAAATATTAGACCAGATGATACTCAGTACTCAAGTAGCCTTCTAATCAGATACTTTTTTACCCTTACTTGAGTAATAAACCCTATATCAGGAAAATATTGTCCTCAGTTTGTGTCCTTCCAGTGAGCTTTGCAGATGTGGGAAAATGTCATCAGGCAGTAATCATTGTTAAATTCATAATTATTCTCAGAGAGAGACCAACTCTTATCTGCCCCTGGGAGCCCCGTAATGCATAGCGTCATTTCAACATGGCGGTGTCCGCGACACGGTTTATATGCAGGTAGCGGCACTGCGGCTGCTTTATATAGCGACTCGTTGCATTCTCCCTCAACCCCAATCCTCGGATCACGCATTTTAGCTAAAACGCTAACGTTAGCTTGCCTTGCGTTGACTGTAGAGTTGTGGGTGATGGTCACGCAGATGTGTCATGAGATTTGAAGCGTTGCTGCCTTTCACAGACACTTTTTCTGCTCGTGCTGCAAACAGGATAGCCGTCTTCTATCAGCTGTCCCTCGGCATTCTTCAAATATCTAAAAGATGCCCGTACTTCCCACTTTGTCTTCTTTGAGGGATAATAAATGTCCTGCGCGCTGCCGGCTCCTCCTTTGGCCGTTATTTCAGCTTAAGCTTCAAGAAAGTTTGGGTTGTAAACAACAAAGCGTGCATGTGCCACCGGCAACTTCAGCAGATGATACGGTGGCTGGTAAGGGTCACTGCGCCTACGGTAATCCATCGAGATAATATACTTTTTAAAAAACAAGACGGTTATTATTATTGTCCACTTTTTTTTAATCGGGGTTTACCGCTACACTAGTTACCGTGACAACCCTAATGCCCACACAGTAAAAAAAAATGCAAAGGACGACTTTGCATGACTTTGACGTCATTGGCAATGAATGAGTTAAGTATGTTATTAGCTAGTACAGCAGAATGTCTGTTCTACCAAGTACAGGAGGATGAGGACAGCGTAAAACAAAGTTCATGATCTTCAACCGTAACTTACTGCAATCAACTTTCCACCCTAATGTTTCTCTGGATGGCCAGAACTACAGCTTGGCATTTTAACGGTTACTGCCTCTGTATTCCTGAAAAATCACGAGAAACAAGTAAGTTTGGGTTTAGCAAGCCTGCTTCCCCAGTGCCTTCCAGAGGCAGCATAGCCTGAGCCTATGCCTATGCCTGAGCATAGCCCCTAGCATTTGCTATCTGCAGCTTAGCAGCAAAGAGAGGCAGCTTTGCCAACTCAGGGACTTTGTCACTATTCCTAGCGCCTAGCAACCAACCTGGCAACACTTCTGAGGACCTTTTGCTACTTTCTGTAAAACTTTCCTGTAGATATTCCCTGCAGATTAGCAACACATAAACGATTTGAGCTCCAAACTGTTCTTCCAAGAGCAAGAAGAGAATGATAATCTGTGTGTGTGCACGTGGACATAAACCTTTATCAGCCCGGCCAACAAGAAAGCAACAGCTACAGAGCTGGAGACAGCCGATTCACGCCTGCTGCTGCAGATTCACGCCTCTACTAGAGATGGCGCAGGTACCTGTACACTTTGGCCCTTCCTGCATTTGGCAAATAAAGTCAGCTGGAGTTTGCACTACTGTCCCGTTAACACATGCAGCTCTGTGGCTCAACTGAATTTCCTTCAGTGACAAGGTGATGGTTATATCAGGGGGAAAAGCTGCTGTTCAAGAAAATGCTGGTAATGCCTTATATAGGAAACATTATTTCTGATTGGCTTAATGAACTGACCTGAATTGGAATGTTTATTATGTGAAGTGCCTTGAGACGACTCGTCGTGATTTGGCGCTTAATAAATAAACTTGAATTGAATTGAAAAAACTTGACTGCACAAACATGACAGAGTCTGCGAGAACAAGGAGAGCAGGAGGTCTGACCTATGTCCTATAACAGAACTGTTTGGAACACCACACCAAATCTGTCTTAATATCACTTCATTTATCACTTCGGCAACTCACTTCCGGTCGGCAAGATGGCGCCTGTGCTTGGCTTTGCCGCGGTCACCGGCAAACTTTTCTCCACTAACCTCCGCTTTTCCACCTTGCTCCTGTCTGCGATCCTCTTCAGTAGTGTCTCTGCTACCATCTCCTATGATCGCCAGACTCTTTGTCCTTCCGTTCGTTCACGATCGCCCAAGATGCACCGAGGATTTACCATCCTGTTTGTTTACCTGAGCGGCGCGCTGGCCCGGAAGCAATCGACGATCCAGAACTGCGCACCTCTAGCGATGTTTGTCCGGTCCCGGGAAAACGTCAGAGGAAAAGAGGTAAACGAGCAGGAATCCAGGTGAGAATAAGACTTCTCTTAAAGCGTGGTATATCTGGTAAACATCGGCGCGATCTTCCAGCTTCTTGTCCTTTGTTTGGTGACCTGAGCGCCACTTCCGCATTCCCGCTAGGCCGCGTTGGGACGCGGTTCATCCGTCCAAGTTTTTTAAGGTCGGTTTATCCTCATTCCTCAGTGGTTTCTCCTCCTGTTCCCTCCATAAGTGGTTTTTATAAACACCGTGGATCTAACCCTACTAATTTATGTCCACTAACTCCAGCTGTTTCTGTAGTTTCTGATTCCTCCTCCTCACTCAGCATGGCTCTATTAAACACCCACTCTGTTAACAATAAGACCTTCCTGCTCAATGATCTAATTCTCTCTAAAAACCTGGATTTTCTGTTTCTGACTGAAGTTTGGCAGCAAACATCTGATTATTCTGCTCTGATTGAACTTTGCCCGAGTGGTTATTCTTTTCTTAGCCAGCCCCGGGGTTCTGGTCATGGTGGAGGCCTAGCTGTTGTTTTTAGAGACCATCTTCCATGTAGCTCTACAACCTCTGGTCACTTTGCTTCCTTTGAACTGCAGCTGATTAAAGTCGGGCGTAAAGACCCGTTCTACTGTGCTGTGGTCTATCGTCCACCTGGTCCAAACAGTTCTTTCCTTCAGGAGTTTAGTGACTTTCTATCCTCTACTGTGAAGCTGTCCAGACTGGTGATTGTTGGTGACTTTAACATCCACGTTGATGATCCCTCCAATCTCTTTGCCATGAATTTCTCCAGCCTCATGGACACCTTCGGCTTTACCCAGCATGTTTCTGGCCCCACACACACCAGGGGGCACACTCTAGACCTTGTTTTTACCCTGAGTCTAAATGCTGACAGTGTCTGTCCTGAGGATGTTTATATTTCAGATCACCATTGCATTTTCTTTAACTTGTCAGTTTCTGCGTCCCCACCTCCTGCTCGCCGTATGGTTAGTTCTCGTTTTCTTAATGAGAGCACAGCTAGCAATTTTTCTGCTGCTTTTTATCCACCCTGTTCTTCTGATAATGACCCAGATTCCTTAACTTCTCAGTTCAACGAGCACTGCCTCTCCATT